AAAAAAAAAACAATTAACTGCACTTTTTATCTCAGGTTATTTCTTCTAATTGATTTCATTTATTTCACCAAAGAACTGTTGGAGTCGTTTGTCATTGTAGCAGAAACACATGATTTAGTGGTTATTTATGAAACATGACTGTGATGTTTAAACTTGGTGTATGAGGTAAAATTCTGGGTGAATGTTTCTATTAAGATGTTTCTGTAGCATTGTGGCTATTGTTATTTTTCACATGAATTACGTAAATCTTTCTAAACATGTTTATTTTTCCAGATTCACTTTGTCATTATTGTATAATAAAGTTGTCATGGTGGAGAGGTTGTGTATCTTTGTGTTATTTTAATACACACTGTTGGAATTTCCAGAGGGAGTTCACAATAAAATAAAGTAACATGCACTAAATGTTCACTGCCATGATATAGATAAAGTAAAGTAGGTCGACCTTTGCAAAAGTGTTTCCTTCCCACCTTCACCTACTCCACTATGCCTGAACTCTATTCTTCAACTCTCTTTTGTCTCTGTTTTGCTTTTTTAATGGTTGACTCCAGGTATTTAAACTCATCTACTGTTATTATCACTATTCCTTGCATGTTCACCTTTTCACCTGAATTGTCTAACTTCGTTCACATACACATAGTCTTGCTTCTACTGACTTTCAATCCTCTTCTCTCCAGAGTTCACCTCCACCTCTCTTCCACCCTCTTCCTACTGTCACCGCAGATCACAGCGTCTACTGGACACATCATTGCTGCACCTTGGACCCATCTGCCACACATCTCTCCCACTTTCAACTTTCTCATGCAGTACCACAGCTCCTTTCTTGATACCCTATCGTATGTAGTTTCCACAAAGAGAAAGAACTTCTCAAAAACACTCTTAAACAAAGCATCTGTGATGTTCTTTCTTGTGAAACCACAGTGCTGCTCATTGATTGTTGTCTCTTTCCCACAGTCCTCGGTGTCCAGCCTCACATATAACTCACTGTAAGCCTTTTCCTTTGTGTATGCTTGCCTCCCAATTCTGTCTACTTTCTTCATCTCCCTGACTAGCCCACATTTTCCTTGCTAAACTCTTCTTTAAATACTTTCCTGTCCTCCTTCATTTCACCATCAAGTCTCCTTGTCCTCTTGACTCTGTTCAGTGGATACACCAAACAGCTAGTGCTGTACTTTTCCTAGTGAAATGTCTTCTCTACTACGCAGTGCCTGTCTTAACCCCTTGCTGAACTTTGTGCAACATTCCTCCTGCTTCACCTTCCACCACTTAATCCTTGCCTCTGCCTTCATTTACTTCCTCTTCTTAACATTCTCCCCTGACAACACCTTAGGTCTTCTATCCTTTCCAGATTGCTTCCTCTGTGTAAGATGTAGTCCACCTCTGTGCACCTCTGTTTTCTTGAACCAGTGCGAGTAGTGCACTTGGTGGCTCCACCGTGGCTTGTTCTGCCAGGTAAAGATAAAAAAAATAAAAAAGATGTTAAAGCTTCACTTTCAGAGATGGAAAAGATGTGATTTGGTGCTGTATAAATAAAACGGAATTGAATTAAACTAAGATTAGATTCAAAATGTAAAGTTTGATAACTAATTTTCCAAAACATGAGGAAAAATATTAAATGATTTCTAAGCTGCTACATGTCACAGCATGTCATGCTTGCATGCAAAGCAGTGTCTGCATCTCATAACAGCTTTTTGTAGCTCTATCGCGATATTTCTATGGCACTTCCTCTTTACTGATCTCTATTTTTAAGGATGGATTTAAACGACATGCTGCCAAGAGCAGTTGCAGTTCAGCCTCATTTCCTGTGGGAGGTGGTTGAGAGCAGAGATCTGTTCCCTTCAGAGAACAGAGTTTGTTTCTGTTCAGACAAAGCGAAACTAAACGAGAGTCACTGAGAGAGTGAAATGGCACAGCACAAAAATCTAATGGACAAGGAAATATTCTGCTGTTCAATCTGCTTGGATTTACTGACGGAGCCGGTGACCATTCCCTGTGGACACAGCTACTGCATGAACTGTATTAAAACTCAATGGGATTCGGAGGATACAAAGCAAATCCACAGCTGCCCCCAGTGTAGGCAGACTTTCACACCAAGGCCTTCGCTGGTGAAGAGCACCATGTTAGCAGATTTAGTGGCTGAGCTGAAGAAGATTGGGCTCCAAGCTGCTCCTTCTGATCACAGTTATGCTGAACCTGAAGATGTGGCCTGTGATTTCTGCACTGGAGTAAAACTGAAAGCCATGAAGTCTTGTTTAATCTGTCTGGCGTCTTACTGTGAGAAACACCTCCAGCCACACTATGATTCGCTTACATTCAAGAAACACAAGCTGGTGGAGCCGTCCAAGAAGCTCCAGGACAACATCTGCTCTCGTCATGATGAGGTGATGAAGATTTATTGCCGTACTGATCATCAGAGCATCTGTTATCTCTGCTCAATGGATGAACATAAAGGCCACAACACGATCTCAGCTGCAGCAGAAAGGACTGAGAGGCAGAAGGAGCTCGAGGTGAGTCAAGAAAATATTCAGCAGAGAATCCAGGACAGAGAAAAAGATGTGAAACTCCTTCAACACGAGGTGGAGGCCATCAGTCAGTCTGCTGATAAAGCAGTGGAGGACAGTGAGAAGCTCTTCACTGAGCTGATCTGCCTCATCCAGAAAAGCTGCTCTGATGTGAAGCAGCAGATCAGATCCCAGCAGGAAACTGAAGTGAGTCGAGTCAAAGAGCTTCAGGAGAAGCTGGAGGTGGAGATCACTGAGCTGAAGAGGAAAGACACTGAGCTGAAAGCGCTCTTAAACACAGAGGATCACAACCAATTTCTACAAAATTATCTCTCACTGTCAGCACTCACTGAGTCAACAGAATCATCCAGCATCAATATCCGTCCTCTGGGGTACTTTGAAGTTGTGACAACAGCTGTGTCAGAGGTCAGAGATAGACTGCAGCACATTCTGAGAGAGAAATGCACAGACATCTCACTGATAGTCACTGAAGTGGATGTTTTACTCTCAGATCCACAAGCAGAGCCAAAGAGGAGAGCTGGGTTCTTAAAATTATCACATGAAATCACACTGGATCCAAACACAGCGAACACATGGCTGCTATTATCAGAGAGGAACAGAAAAACGACAGCAATGAATAATCAACAGCCCTATTCTGATCATCCAGACAGATTCACTGATTACTGGCAGGTTCTGAGCACCGATAGACTGACTGGACGTTGTTACTGGGAAGTTGAATGGAGAGGAGGAGTTCATGTAGCAGTTGCATACAAGAATATCAACAGAGCGGGGATGGGGAATGAATGTGGATTTGGAGGAAATGCAAGATCTTGGGCATTGAAATGTTCCCAAAACAGTTATACATTTTGGCACAACAACATCCAAACCCCCATCTCAGGTCCTCAGTCCTCCAGAATAGGAGTGTATCTGGACCACTGTGCAGGTATTCTGTCTTTCTACAGCATCTCTGAAACCATGACCCTCCTCCACAGAGTGCAGACCACATTCACTCAGCCGCTCCATGCTGGACTTCGACTTAATGGTTGGTGTGTTTTTGGAGCAAGTGCCAAGTTCTGTGAACTCAAACATTTATAGTCTTTCATATTCAAGTGGGTTTAAATCTGGATTCAAAATACATTGATAACAATTCATATTCGTATTGATGCCTTTATATGTTTTTGTCTTCCAGTTTATGATGTTAACTTAATGAAGACATCAGCAGAGCTGCCTCATTACAGATGTTGCTCTCGTTAATTTGTACATGTGCGAAGAAATCTATGATACATTTGCATGCATCTGTAGGGCAAACTGAGTGTTTTTGTTGTTGTTTTCTAAATTGACAAACAAAATATAAAACTTATAATTATTGAATAGATCATTTGTTGTATGTAATGTGTGAAAATAAATGTTTTTCATACATAACAAATTATTATTCTTATTATTTTTTAAAAAAAGGTGTTTTTGATCATTTTAAATTATGGTGAAAACATACTGCATATGTGGATCATCCCTATGCAAGAAGCTGTTTTAAGTTGATGATGAGGTGACTCATCTAGTGATGCTGTGTGATATTGCAAACTTTGGTATCAGTCCAATACCAAGTAAATACACGGCTGTGATTGCCGATACCAATACAGATACTTTAAACCTATAAAGTAGGTTAAAATCAGTGGATTTTTATCCACTGATCAGTTTGCAAATCATCATCACTTTCCTAAATAAAACACATTTTAATGATCAGAAAATGTTTGTGATTTTTACTTTTGTTCATAGGACAAAAGTAAAAATCACAGTAAAAAAAACAAACAGTAAAAACATACCTTCCAGCTTTTCTTGTATTTGTTTCTTTTTAGACTAGGAAAATAAATTTCCTCGTCTTTAAAGCACTTTAGCTGTTGTTGGTTTGAATGTGCGACGTGGTGTATATGCCCACAGTTTCAACTTTTTAGTTCAGGTTATTATAGCAATTAAGCAGTACACACTTTGTCAAACAATAAGTCTGACTTAATCAAATCACCTGAATCCTATTATTTACTAAGATAATTCTGTCCTTTATCAATCATTATATGACATTTTAATTAAGACTAAAAAAAATCATCTGTCCACTTTCCACTGCTCTTTTATTTTAATTTGCATTTCACATAATTTTATTTTACTGTGCTCCAACCCATTTCAGAGTGTAATATTTTCATTTAACACAGCTACTTTTTTCCAAATTGGAAAAAAGTAGCTTTATTTATATATTAAGCTTTTTTACACTGCAGTATTACATAAAGTATCATTTTCTACAATAATATGTAAATCATGTGACAGAAAACTATCATCATTAAATATCATCACTAGTATAAAACTATTTTTTCATATGAAAATGCAAAACAATTTGCAGATCCACCTTACATAGAGATAATGGTTTAGTTTAGTTTTGTTAAAAAGGTATACCAATATAATGACTAAAATTTACTAAATGAGCTTCATGTTTTATTAACTAGGACTTGAATGAAGTTATTGAGCCCATAAAGTCTTCAGGAAACTGCCAATAAGCCAGCTCATAGACCTGTAGAACAGCTGCCCCCTGCTGGCCATTACACAAATAAAATACAGATTAAATACATTTGGTCTAGCGGTATAGCTCACCGCACCACCACTGTGTCATAGCCGGCACAAACATAAATAAAACTGAAAAAATCCTTTTAATCTTTGTCTAAATCTTCCTTTCACTCTGTGTTTGTCTGAAGCTCGTGCTGCTGGTGAAGTTTTGCTTGAAGTGAAAAACAAGAGCAGACTGAGTCAGGCGGATGGAGTTAGTGCTTTATTATCACCGTAAAGCCTTTTTTTGTTAATCATGACACGGGAACATCAATCACTGAAACATATTTACAGCTCAACATCAGCAATCCTGTCGTGTTTACTTCGTCTGTAAAGTGCAGCTCTGTCAACACGAGCCTTTCACTTGGTTACAGCAAAAACAAGAAAGCAATATCTCACCCCCACGTGTCCCAAAAAACTAAAATAAAAATAAAATCATCTTCAGTAACTGTTGATTTCGGCTTTTTAGAAACATCTCCACTACTTTAACCTCCCACAAACGGAGAGGTGTGTCTGTGGCCTCTTTCATCCCTACATGAAGAACATGAAACTTAAAAAACCCCCACAAATAATCATCGTGAATCACTCTGGAAATGAAATGCAAGTTAATGAATAAATGTGCGATGAACATAAAAGGCCCCAAACAACGACCCACGTATGCATGCCTGGTAAATATTAAGACATTAGAAGAAACGGACTCAGCAGGCAATGTGAAAGAAGATGGAGTCTGTTTTTTATGACACACAGGTGGTTATTGGTTTTTCAACACTGTATCAGAGGAGCTTAAAGTCTAGTGTTTTTCTTTTATGAACACAGAAAGCCATGTTCTCCTTTCAGTTTGAGGGAACTTGAGGGAAATTTGTGCTTTTCTCCCTTTTATTTATTTATTTATTTATTTTAACAGACCTCCAACTTTGCAAATGTCAGACCAGCAATTCACACCCGGAACGGCCCCGAGAGATGAGAGAAAAGCATCTTTGGCTCACTGACGTGGCCTTAAATCTTCACGGTTAATTGGTACGAGAGCTCATTAACAAGTGTTACTGTCATGCAAACTCTGCTTTCATTTACATGGGCTCCGACCCTTACAGCACGCTAACACACACATACAAACACTGCATACGAACAGCTTGAAATGCTGGAATACTGGACTGATTATGGCATGATTATGGCTTCACTAATAAATACGCAAGAAAAGAAAAAAATCTAAATTCAGAATTTTTCCAAGTCTGTTTCAAATAGAATTTTTTTTTCTGGTTTAAATCAAATTTTCATATTTATGTTCATACTGGTTGTGTTTTTGCTGTAAAATCTGTACAAAAGTACACTCCAATATTTAACACAAGCAAATACGAGGCTCCTGCATGTTAAGATTCAAATGGGCATCCTCCAAAGATGAAGTCTTTTTAGTGCACAAAACAAATTTATTCATGCTGTTGAGGACTGTGGATTTTGCACTTCCTCTATCTTAACCAGATACCTTTAGTAACCAGTACGATGAGTTCATGTGGCCGTGTTAACGTCATCACGAGTCACCATGTAAACTTAGCTCCCAGCTGACTTCCTCACAATCAGCTGATTTTTTTTTTTAAGTTAAAATAACTTCTTCATATTTAATGAAGCCATGAAAATTTTTACCTTCATTCTACAGACCCTTACAGAATCTTACAGACCCTTTAAGTAAACTGAAATTTGTGGCTTCTTTAATTAGTCCAAGACCAAGACTTGAAAATCAAAATAAAGGTGGATTTTTCCTTTAATATTGGCACCTGAAAGTCGATGAAGTGGACCTTAGATCCATCTGGAGCTCAGCTTTGAACCAAAAGGAACAAAAGTTAAGTTGTATTCATGATAAGTAAAACGACAGGTGTAATTTAAGTGGTCTAAATTTTCTCAGCAGGTAACAATCACAACATAGGTCTCTAATGTCAGGGAGTCAAATCCAAAGGTGTCTGAATACAAAAACTAAAAAAAAACAAAACAAATCAAACAAAACCCACCATCCTTCAAACTTTCAACCATCAAATATAAGCACAAAGTGAGCGCAGGTGGTTGAAAGTATGCTGACTTTTTATCTTTAAAGGCAGTGGTCAAGTCAAACGTACACGTTTTTCTTCTATCCTGTAGTGCCATTTATCAAATAGATCATTTTGGTGTATAATCCGTCATTTCTTGAATATAATGTAAATAATGTGAACTCACTTTGTGGTGCTCAAAGCAGCAATCTTCACTGTCAGCGAGCAAAGACCAAATCATGCAAAGACAAGAAAGTCTGAAAACTTACAGGATGAATTTTTCCCTTTGAACCTTTCATTCAGCTGCTGCTTTCAGGTACTATCAGTAAAAGCTCAAGCACACTTAAGGCCAAATATTTTTCATTTTTGCATTTGGTCTATACCAGGGGTGTCAAACATATAATCTAAGGGGCTGAATCGGCCCACTGGATGGCTTACGAAATTTGAATTTTTAATCGGGAGGTTTTGAGTTACGCATCTCTAAAGTTAATCTATTATTATTATTATTATCTATTATCTGCTATTCAAACTTTCTGTTTCCAAAGTGCAGCCAATCAGAAGAAAGATGGCTTTTGTTAATGGTTTCTGAAAGAGTGAGGCAGGCCCTGTCAGTGGAGGATTAAACCACTGTAGGAGGAATATGCAAGGTAACTAAGTAAGATTAAAGTGATATTTGTGGGAAAAATACACCAAAAAACCCCAAAACAGACCAAAACTGAACCATTATTCTCATTAAAGTGTAGCTTTGAATATATCTATAGGTGAGGCATGCCAGAAAAAGAAACCAATAGTTATAGTGAAACGCTTAATCCAGGTCCAGCATAAGAGAAATAAAGATGATTCTGAACCGTGAATCACAACTCAAGTCCAAGATTAAAAACATGGAGCTGCAGTGGACTGTAAGATGTCCCTTTAGTGGGTTGATTTAAACTTTACTTAACAGTTATATTAACATTACTGTCAATTGATCAGCATTAAGGGTCTAACTGTTGTTTACATATGTCTGTTTCCATAAAAAGAAAAATATACTTAACGTTATAAAGAATATACGTTTTCCACCCCTGGTCTAAACAGCGTCTGAACAATCGAGCCACATTTTTCTGCAGCTAAATAACATCTAACAATATTAATAAATTGAACACGGTGTTGGAAAAACAGCTGGTTAGCAGTTACTAAAAATTAATTTTCTATTGATCAATTAATTGACTAATCAGTGAAGACCTACTGTGATGTGCTGAAATGAAGCCAGTGGAAGGAAGGAAGGGAGGAAGGAAGGAAGGAAGGAAGGAATCCTTAAATGACCTTTTCAAAATAAGACTCAGGCTCTCTTTCTATCTTCTGTTTGTGTTTCAGATCAGCTGACCTCTTTCTTTCTTTTTTCTTTTTTTTTTAAATCAACAACACTGATGGAGAAAGTGGATGAGGTGTCCTGTTGCCCTCTGGGACCTTCATCACGGGTAAAAAAAACCATCACTTCCTCTCAAAGTGCACTCATGCAAGAGCCGGTACCGACAGACCCAGGTTCAATATTCTTCTCACATTTTGTTTTACGTCTTCCATATTTTTGTTAGCTCTTCTTATAAAATAAACATAAAAACAGAAACTTAGAGGTTAATCTATAGTCATGTCTCTTCTTGAAAGTGGAGCCGGTATAAAAGCAGCATTTTTTTTTCCTTTGTTTGTTTTTGTTTTTTTAACACAGAATAAAACACAAGTCCTGGATGAGGCGTTTCCTCACCTACTTCCCTCCCTTTTACAGTGAGGGTGCATTAGATATATCCTCCATTTTAGAGTGACAGGCCTCCATCACAAGCTTCAGAGTCCTGCACAGAGGAAGCACATGTTTTTCAGTTCCAGGCAGTCCGCGCGGGCGGATAGGTGGGCGAGTGGTGTTCCCCTCCTCTGATTCCTGAGCTGTGGTCTCGATTTTACCAGCTGGGACTCGCCTGGGAGGTAAAACATGCATCCTCTGAGTGTCGTTAAGCTTCAGACTCACCCTTCTTCTTCCCCTCCTCTCCAGCGTCACTGTCCTCTGACTGGCTGTTGCTAAGCACTAGGAACTGTCCGTCAGAGCCAGGCGGGTTGGCCGGGCGACTTGATGCAGCGATCAAGCGGCTCTGCTCCTCCAGATCCTGAAAGTCAGTCAAGAGAAGAAGAGTGAACTTTTTCTTGCGCGTGGTGTTGTTTTCAGCATTTGGTGGCAGATGGAGCTTTTAATGAGGCGAGTGTAAGACCTGGACTAAGAATGTGTGGAAAAAGACTTGAAAGACCTTCAAAAAAAGCACAGTGAACTATAAAGATGACATCTGACAACCGCCACAGTACCCTTAATTACAAATTTATGTGGTTTGACGACCAATACAAAAGAACCACTTGAAGGGTAACACCGAGGGGTAAAGAGTTAAAATTGGCTCCATGGATGCAAACTACAAAAGAAAAAAAATGGTGGCTGAGATTTTTGCACAGCAGTGTAAAACATAATGTTTTCATTCATTTAAGTCAGACAAAGCAAAAATGTCTTTAAGTGATGAACCCCAAAGTCCAACAAACTCACAGACTATTCAATTAAAGTGGTGATGATGGGGTCATAGCACATGTTTACATTGTATTACAGACTAAAAACACCCCCTGGCTGCTCGGCATACTCTGCACATTCGTTATAACACGGGAATAGTGCAAGGTTTGTGTTGAAAGGTAAAAAAAAATCACCTTCTCGATCTGTCTTTGCTTGCTCAGTTCCTCCTTCTGTTTCTCTTTGGCCTTATCCTCCTCCTTTTTCTTCTCCACCGCTTTACGGTCCTGCATCACAAGAGCAACAATAAGAAAACAAGCGTAAGCATCCACAGCAACACATGAATGACCCCCGGTTACAGTCTTTACCATCTCCGAGTGCAAGGCGATCTGCTTGGCCAGACCGATGCTGTCACAGATCTGAAAAGCATGAAGAAGACAAGACGATCAGACAGAAAGAAGGATGTGTTACACCGCCAGCCAAACAGATAAACGGACACACAACCTTCTCTCCATCGTTGTTGGATTCAAAGATGTAGCACATGGCTCGGCTGTCGCTCCGCCCGCTTGCCGACTGCAGAACAAAACCAAACAGCCTCTTGTTGTCCTGATGGGACAAACACTGCACCACAGTGGAGAGAGGGAACTGCAGCGAGACACAGCAGGATGCCAGTTAGCAAAGACAAAAGTGACACAACTCAAATCTTAGAAACAAGACAAAACTGGAGAAACTGCGGTCACCGTACCCTGAGTCGCGTCACTTGTGTCTGAGGATCAATTAGCCTGAAAAATAAAAAACCTATTTTAATATAAGAGGATAATTGCAATTTTTTTCAAGCTGGCATTTTATTTTATCTTTTGTTGAATGTGGTTCCCGTGGCTCATGCTTGCTTTGCAAAAAGAAGTTAGTCACACAACAAACATCGGCTTCATCCAACACGCTCATAATGATCACTGCAGTTCCTACTTGAGGCAGTCGCAGGTGACCAGCAGGTGGGACTCGGTCATCCTGAAGATGTTGTGGATGGCTCTGGCAGCCAGGATCTGCCTCATGGTCTCAGAGATGACATCCACTGACTCGGCAGTCTTCACCTCCATGGAGCCCAGGAAGCGAACGATAAAGAGCTGGTGGAGGATCGAGTCTACGCAGCACAAAAACCAGAAAAAACAAAACATACTTCATGTATGGCTGTGGTTCCACTCGAGTTGTGTAAAAGCTGATTCTTTGGTGGTTTAAATGTACTTTTTTAATAATTAAATCACTTTAAATTATTTTAAACTGGTTGTAATTATGGATAATAATGGAAATAATAAAACCCATTATAATCTAAATAAATACGCAGTTTAAACCTTTTTTCTACATGAGTTTTTATCCAGAATCCCAGTTATAACATTAACATGACCTCTGCATAGTCATAAATGTCATTTAGAAGATAAAGACGTACGTAAATAAATAAATAAATATTGATAAAATAGTCGAGACAGACAGACACGAGTACCTTCACTGTCTTCTGCTGTGCTCTCTCCTGACTCCCCAAATGGATTACTTCTCCTGCAGAGAAGCACATAAACACACAAAACAGTCATATTTTCATAGCTTCAGATATATCTGTCTTCACATTATTCGTTTAGTTAGCTTGCTTTTTGTTCTGTCATTGCATGCTTCACAGACCATGTAAACAGTAGATATAGGCAGAGCTGCTTGAACTCTAATGTTCACAAGCACTGTCTGCAGCACATGCAGCACAGAACCTTCAAATCTGAGCAGATGGTGCTGCGCAGTCAGGCGGTATCGCCTCGTTATGATGCCGGCTAGTTTGTGAAACACATGCTGGAAATTTAAACAGTGATTCATCATTTTCCCTGACAGACACGTACCTGCAGGACTGCGGTACTGTTTTGCTTTGTCCTGAGTTCTCCTCACTGACGGGGGAAATTATGTCAAACTGGATGGGTGTTTCTGGGGCAACCAGTGCATCCAGTGAGAGCACAGAAAGAGCGGGCGATGGCTCGGAGCCCACAGAGCTGATGCTGCTCGCTCGACCCGTTCGCCCCTTACTGGATGGGAGACAAAGAGAGAGAGAGCGAGAGAGGGAGAGAAAGAGGATGATGACAGGGCTCCGTAATGAAATCTGGACCACCTGCGGCCCTACTTCAATAAATAATGGAAGCCGACAGCAGGTTGTGAGCGTGTTGGTAATCATTACTCTCACCTAAACCTAATTTTGAAAAAATCTGAACCCCCAAACAGAGAGGACAGGTAGAAATACCCAGTCTAAAACTCAAACTAGTTTGACAACCCACTCACCCACACACACTCCTACCTGGTGGGTCTCATGCTCTCGTGTCTCTGCTGAAAGGACGGTGATGGTGTCACGGCTTCAAGAGCGGATTGGTTCACTCTGGCTGCAAGCTCCTGCCAACAAGAAGTAACTAGGAATTACTGAGATCATCTGGTTTCTAATAGAGAGGTTTTTGCTTCTGTACGTGCCGAGCTGCTGTGACTTATTACTGAAGCCTGCTTGAAGTCTAGAAATTGTGCACTGGCGTACTGTCGCACAATTACAAAAACCTTGTGGGAAGACAGATATTAGATCAGATCTTCATTACCAGTACCTTGTGCCAAATAGTCAAATCAAAGTAGTTTCCGCAGAAAAGCTATAATCTCCCATGCAAAGAGTTTAAGGTCTTCTGCACCATCTCACAATATTGATGCTGATATTTTACAACACATACTTCCCTGGCTAGACTACAACTAAAATAGCTGCCAAAGGTATACGACAGTGAACGGTAAGCAACATGAAAGTCGATAGAAGAAGGAAGCAGACACAAACCTCTGCATTTTCACTCAGGTAGATCCTCCTTGAGATGTTGTTGATGGTGGAGATCCACTAGTGGAGAGAGACAACATCAGAAAACAGCAGCAAACTCAAAGGAGGCTTCATAAAGTTAGAGTATTTTACCTCCTCGCATTCCTTCCTGCTCTCCGCCTGCAGCGTCACCACTCTGACATAATAAAGAGAAGAAAATGATTTTTATTTTGACCTAAGAATTACAAAAAAAGGGGCGGGGCAGAGCACATATGAGAAGAGAACTATAAAAAAGGACCTCTCACTTTTTCCCATCAAAGGAAGTGACCTGAAAGCAGAATCGGCGGTCATCACAGTCAACTGCCATGACGGAGGAGTTGTCAAGGTCTGTGACCAGCCCGCCCGCCACCTCTCCCCGGCCCTGTTGCATCAGGTTTCCACCCTGTGTAAAGAAGTACTGTCGCTCCCAGGATGATGACACTAGCCCAGTCTTACTGTGAGACAGCAAAGACACAAAAAGGATTTCACAGTGTTTACAGTCAGGGATCAAACCACCAACCTTCCAATTAGCAGATGACCCCCTCTACCTCCTGAGCTACAGTCACCCCAATAAGAGATGCACAATGTAAAAACTGTTCTGGGTCTGTGGGTGAAACAGGATTAAAGCTCACTAAGAAATAAAACACTGAAGTCGTCCTGTGGCTTACTTCCGGATGTACAGGTAGCCCTGCTTCCTGGTCAGGTTGCGACTCACAGGTGAGTGGGCGGGGTCGGGGTCACATGGTGCATAAAGGGCGTCACAAGCCCTCTCCATCTCCTGGATGGTCTGTTGCATCTGCCCCACCTCCTCCTCCATTTCCCGGCGTACACTATACATACATTCACATGTTCATTGTCACTCATTGCTAAAATCTTCCTGTCTCCACAATTAATTAACAGTTTGGGGATGAAGGAGTTCTTACTTCTGGACACTGGTTCCTATAGTTCCCAGGAACTCTTCCCACTGCTGGGTGAGATTTTCTGACCCCAGCTTAAAGAAACTGATCTGAGGAGAACAAAAACAGGTTGGTCACTTCAGAGCTGACTTCAAATAAATGTGATTTCACACTGTTTTGGTATTAAATCTCCTTTGCAGAAACTCTGTCTCCCCCTTCTGGCAGTAAAGGCAAACCATGTTTGTTCTTGCCCTCATTCACTGGCTGTGGATGACATCAGTTTTCAGAATTCCTAACTGAGTGAAGTTACCTGGAAGTGTGTGTGTGGTCGTCACAATAAGAGCTCACTCCTTAGTGCTTCCTTTGTTACCTCCTTTAGCAAAGGATACACTGAACCATTCTTCGTGAAAGTTAAGGAAACAAAATGAGTACCTATACCACACGTAAAATGCACTTTCTTTTAGTCCATATTTGGGGCATTTTAGTTTAAGACCCACATCAACAACATCCACCATCAGATTAAAAAGTCTGACTCTAAGAGCACCACAATCTTTTCCTTTTCTTTAAATTTTCCTTCATATCCTTCTCTGAGCTCACAGCGTTTTCCATCGAGTTTCTTTCTTGTTATAAACTATTCTTGGATGCTTCCCACGTGTCTTAGACTACTTGACCTTTGTTGCTACAGGTCCTCCCCTATTCAAGCCTGATTACAATGTGTCACCACTAATGCGCATGTGTGTGTGAATATCACCTGACATGAAACTGTGTGCTCCAAAATACACAGCCTGCACTGATAGTGCAAAAACTTCAATGAAATCAAACTTCATTTCTTCACATAAAAGTTCAGCAGTCAGGCTTAAAATGTCTGTCAGAATTGTTTTGCAGGATTACCAAAGAATTTCAAAGCTGTTTCCAAAATTCCCAGAATCAAGCAGGGGGATTAACATTTTGCCAAGTTAAAGATTTGACGTGTATTTCACGCTCTTCTGGCTTTTTGTGGGGGAAAAGAATTTCGGACCTGAGTCAGATATGGAATCCAGTTAACGTTTGGTTAAGACCTAATGTTGGATTTTTGAGGTGCACTAGTCCCATCTCTCTCTCATCACCCCCAACCGGTTGCAGCAGATGGCTGCCCCTTCCTGAGCCTGATTTTCCTGAAGTTTATATATGTGAACTGAATTACTCTGCAGTAAAGGCGTGCACACCTGTGCCTGCATGTATCCCAGCAGTGGCTCCAGCAGAGCTGTCTTCTTCTTGTACTGCAGAGTGTTCAGTGAGCAGAAGTAGTGCATCATTGTCTGGTGTTGTTTCTTGCGGGAGGTGTAGACATCCTCCACCACCTCCGCCCGTAACTGCAACACACGAGACTCTTATTTCAGTAAAAAGCCAGATAACATTATCCACTCGCATAATATCATTTGGTCTTGATAATCATCTAGGAAGCTGCTGCTTTGAGGAATGTGAAACTTGATGAGAGACTTTTTAAAACAACCCAACCCCATCTATCATTGCAGCTGCATTTCCACACAGTCATCACTTCCTGTAACTTTAATAAAAAAAAATACTACTGAGGAGTTTTTGCTGTTGTTTTTTTAAATACAGCAGATTCTGTAAAATTATTTTTATAGAAACCAAAATAGAGACCAAAAATGACAGATTTGCTGGTATGACCAAAAATTACTAATTTAATGAATAAACTTCAGTGATTTGGAAGTTTGAGGGAAAACAGAGGAAGCATTTAGGTCTTTCAGTTCCAAGTTCATACTAATATGTCTTTTTGACAAAGCACAATGAGTGTGCTGAACATGCAAAATATGAAAATTATCCACAGACTCCTGCAGCTGTATTTAAATCATAAAAGCAGCTTCTTCTTATCAGCTCAGCCAACCAATCTAAACAAAGCTGCTAAGCTTCTATCCATCTAACTGTGGATGTTTTTACAGTTAAATAGAAAACTTTCCAGACTATGATTTACCATTTACGGACATGTAAAATAAAACCATTACCACGAAAGTCAATGTATAGTTTGAGGTATGAAGTCATGAATGGTAAACCTAAAAGCTGCTACCTTGTCGTTCTCCCTCCTTTTGGATAAGCGACTGTATCTGTTAATCGCCACGTCGTGATCTGCACACAGAGACACAGAAAAGATTTTTAATAGTAAAATATATCTTGCCCTCTTAATAGTTAGAAAACTTGAAACTGCCTGAAATGCACACTAAAAATACCTAAACAAACTAAATTTCACAATTGCAAGTAATTTAGCTTCTATTTCTACCATTTCAATAATTTTTCTTTTATATATGGGCCTAAAATTTAAGATCTAAAGTTAAGTATTTACTAGATCACAAAAGATTTAAATGAAAGCTGAGATGAAAGCACTGTGATATACAGAGTTCAACTTTTTTCCCCTCCAGAGGGCCATGCTGCCAAGATCAAATGGAAACATGGTTAAAGGTTAAATGAAAGTACTAAATGTTAAATGAACATTTATATAAGTCTTGTTAACTGTATGATATGAACTGCTGCATTGCCTGAATTAAACAGCAGTAAAGTCTCACTACAGTGACTGCCCAAGAATTATACTGCCTCTTACGCTAATTTTCAAACACCGCGGGTCAGAAACAGATGGCTTTATATTGCACATGTGTGATTTATCTAGACATAAAGTATATGTAGTATAAAAGTACTGAACCACACCTCTAAATGTTTGAATTCAGGAATTTTCTGTCCAATTTCCACAGATGTATAAAATCAAACTGTCTTTATAAACATTCGTGAAAGAATGGGTCATTCTAAAGAGCTCACTGCATTTGAGCATAGCAGTTTAATAGGAGCCATCTTGGCAACAAGTCAATTTATGAAATTTCTTCCGTCCTAGATATGCTATTATCAGCTGTAAGTGGTATTATTACAAACAGGAAGTGTTTAAACCACAGCAAATTCGTCACAATGTGGCAGACCACATAAAGTTACAGAGCGAGGTCGGCATGTGCTAAAAGGTAGAGCACGTAAAAGTCCCCATCACTCTGCAGAGATCCCAAACGTCTTTGTTATTAATATCAGCACAAAAACTGCCAGAGGCTTCATGGGAAGGGCTTTCATGACTGGAGGTGCAATGCAAGCGTAATGTGTAGGCAATAAAGTGCACTGACTGTAGTTTATGAGGTACAGCTTACCATCACTGGCTATTTGGAAGACTTCTTTAAGAGTAAGGATCTCTGGAGAGACAAAAAAACTCACATTAGAGAGCAAAGTGCATCTGTTTATGTAGCAAGAGCTGCTGCTTCAGATTAATGCTACTACCATAAATATTAATATTGAAAGTAAACAACTAACATAGCAATGCAGAAAATAATTTACATTATGTGTCACTGTTGATGGCAAAATAGTAAACTGAAAATTGTCATTATGCATTATTAACGTCTCTAAAACAGTTTCAAAACTGGGTGAAAGAGCTTAAAGTGTTTTCTACCCTTCAGGTCTCGCTCTTTAAACTGAGTGATGGGGAACATCATGGCATCAGCAAGTTGTGTGGACAAGACAGCATGACAGGAGCTGAGCTAGAAAGAGGAAGAGAAGGAGGAAGTTAAAATCCTAACCATGAATCAGATGAACAAACACAAATATAACACTAGTTTTTCTTATTCTTTTCATTTTGCACCAAATTTGCCTGTTTGGGACATCAAAACATGCAAACCTAACTCACTTCATCGATGACTTTTGCAAACTGTTGCAGAGTAGAACTCATCACCTCATCATCACCCCCGAGAGGAAAACGCTGCAAACAACAGCAACAATAAGGAAACATTACACAGCTGAGATTAACACATAGATTTCTGGATGTTATTAAAACCGCTAATATTTTCTATTATGGTAAAGAAAAAATCTGAATAATGCTGATCCAAAGCTGTTTCTAGAAGACAGGAATGGCCAGACTAAATTTCACAGAGGTGTGGTAAAGGCAGATGTGTGTGAAGTAACAGATAAGAGGCTCGTTGTTACAGTATTACGGTTAGGGTGATAAGTATAATGGATGGTATTACAAGGCTGACATTTAGTATTTTATTGCCCTTTTTTAAGGGTCTATTGGTATAACGAAGATAGGCTGTTATAACAGCAAGGCCTGTGGCTTGTGTGATAAGACTGGGAAGCCACACCAAGCAGTGCCAAAACCTGCAGTTCTCCCAATTGACCACTTAAAGCTGGCTCCAAAAATGTTTTTCAGAACAGTGACTTCCAAAAAAGCAGAGCATTCTTAGGGAAATGGGGGTAGCTTAAAAGAAATCTCACAAGTGAAACTATGGCAGAATTAAGAAAACTTTTAGAAAACTCAACTCAACTCAAGAGACGAGATTCTGAGACCGCCCAAGTGGAAGCCTTTCGCCACTTGCCTACAACCTAGAAATTCTGTCCATAAAAATTATGAAAAGAATCAGTGACAAAGGGTAGCCCTGGCAGAGTCCAACGCCCACCAGGAATGAGTCTGACTTATTGCTGGCTATGCGGACCAAGCTCTTGCAACGGTTGTATAAGGATCGAATGGCCTGTAGCAGTGGGCCAAGACAGCTTCTGGAGTATTTTGAATTGCATGAATCCTCCTTAATTTCCAAAAATCAGTCAAATAGTGAGGCACCGCTGGGAACTAAAAACAGTCCAAATTCTTTCAACTCCCAAACGATTCTCCAGAGAAGTGACTCCAATTAGGGCTGTGCAATATGACCAAAATCTCATATCCCGATATAAGAATTCTATCGTCCCGATAACGATATAAATCACAAAAATGTAACATTTTCTGTAAATTCTGTGAATCTCGGGCAGCTCGTCTTGCGGGAAGTGTTTCCAGCTGCGCATCATGTAGCTGGAGTCGAGTGTTTTAACCGATGCATGAAACGATACATTTTTAGGCATAAGTTGTAAAGGCCGCCGTTTTCTTTGTGAGTATTTATTACACGGCGTGCTGCGGGGAAAAGCCTGTTCTGACGTTTGAGTCTAAGGTTTATTTTTTAGCACCTGACGGCTCTTTTTTACTTCTCATCCGTAAATAATCTGCTCTTTCACGTGATTCAGTTTATTTTGAAAAGTCTCAACAGGATCTTGAGCTTTATTGTGAAAGGTTTATGTGGAACATAAACAAGCGGACACGCGATGCTGTTACCATCGTTGTTGCTAACCACAACGCATAAAAACAGGCGCTTGTCCGTCCGTAGTGTGGTTATATTAAATATAAGAGAAAGAGAGAACTTTAAGAAATTAATATAGCCACTACAGTGACCATCAAAACGATGAAAAAATATTGCCTTAAACAGTTTATTTTGTGACACCACGAAATGAAACGATAGACGTTTTTTTATCGTCATCCGATATATATCGTTATATCGAACAGCCCTAACTCCAATCATTGTCTAATGCTGATTTTTATCCTTACTACCAGTTGTCTTCTATGCTTTGTATGGTGAGTTTGGGTTTTAAAAAGGCGCTCACAAATAAAATGTATTATTATAAAACAGGATTGATAAAGTTTAGCAAAGTTAGAAGTTAATAGTGAGGTATCTCAGCCAAGTCAAACTTCCCCCAAGGGAATGTGTGAAACAATCCATGCACAACACAAAGTTAGTCATTTATATATTGCCGGCTGGCTATGAAAAAATCCTGATCCTAAGCTTAATGTCCACAGAGAGATCTCAGTTGGTTCAAGGGTGATTCATTTGTGAAGCTTTCAGATATTTAGTGTCCAGAACTTCTTTGTAATAATAATAAAAATAATAAAATAATCTAGTGTTTGAGTGTGTACACTTGTGCTGTGGTTGGGACAAATATGGCATTTCCTACCTGTTTGTCATATTCTTTCAGCAGTCTGGAGGTCAGGTGTGTTGCAGCACTCAGCTCATTCTGGAAGACAAATCCGCAGCACTAAGAGCTGGACACACACTATCCAAACAGCAGCACATTATTGATTTTGTGTTTTTGTGAGTGAGTGTATGTGTGTGTACCTGTGCATCATAAATCCTCTGCATGGCCTGATACAGTTGTGTGCAGTAGTTGGAGATGGCTGCAGTGTCCTCCTCAAAAACTCCCAGAAGAGACCGTGTCTGCAAACAAAAACCATCAAAAACAAACAAACAAACAAACATCATGCAGCTGATTTAACTACATGATCCGTTTATGAAACCATACTCAGCTTACTTGCCCCCAGAAAATTTCCTATGCGAGTGCCAAAAACTTCACCCGCATACATTTCTGCAAATCAAACACCTACACGCACTACTGCTGCTCTCAAGGTGTGTCTTAACATCCTGCTGGTCCCTGTCTTTTTCAAGGCATTACTCACTGTGAGAAATAAATCACACTCTCAGGCTGTTTGCCTGAAAGCTGAATGGTTGCAACCTGTTGTGTGATTATCCTGAATGTATTTCACCTTGCTGTAAATCAGATTTTACTGCTGCGGTAACCTGGTTTCTCTCCAGCTCCCACTGTTAAATTACAAATATAACAGAGCTGACGCCTAATGTACACCGAGAGAGTTAATAAGAGACTGGAGTGGATGAAGCATAAATCATTAGTTATATAGACTAAAAGATTTTGCAAAGACTCCAGAGTCATACCAGCTTGAAAAGTTCCCACCCGACCCTGATAGAGTCAGCTGATTTTTTTCTACTCTATAACTTTAACATATCTAATAAGGTCATGCAAAACTTTATCTTCGTATTATGAATATGTCTGAGTTTCAGTCCATCAGAGTACAGGCATTTGTCAAAATTAGTTTCCCTTATTTTAATGCTCTTATAATTTCTTAGAAACATGAGATAGCCACATTACATTTTCAGGGTTGAAAAAACAGTTATGCAAATTCTTTTCGCTCTTGCAAATGATTTTTGTGCTTGAGAGCAGCAAGAATTTCCCTGTGCTTTGAGAGCTGATACCCAGATTATTCTGACAGTTAACGTAAGTAAATCCTGGGTATGTGCAGCGTCAAACCAAGTAAGTTTATACACTTTGACCACACCTCAATCCGTGATGTCACAGCAGGTGTTATTCCTAAAATTTTCAGGAAACAACATCACTGCTCGAGTTGTTTTTCTGTCCATCTGCAGCAGTGCGGTTGAAGCTTTGGGCACGGTGTGACACCAACAGAAATACAACACTGGTGTTTGACCAGATAACCATTACTGGGGAAGAGGGAGGAATGATTAGCGAAGTGGCTACGGAAGTTGCAGGTTAACCGTTAATTTATGTGCAAACCAGCACTAACTCTGACATTTTAGGATCTGGCAGCTTGGCGAAAGCTTCCATCACCTGATCCATAAAGCAGTCAGTTTATGATCCCACTGCATAGCTGAAGTATCCCGCTTGAGAAGCTGTGGTTAGCTGTGCCGTTAGCGATTAGCACCATTCCGATGGATGTTGGCAAACAGTCTACAAAGACAGTTAGCCTAGCTATAGACGTGGCTAGAATTAGCTTTTAGCTGAAGCCCTCGGGGAGTAGAGCTGTTACCTGCGGGCTGTCCTCCAGCGTCTCCTCTATCGGTAGCTTCTCTATCCCGGGCATAGCTGCTGCAGGCGTGTTGATAATCTCTGAGAAACGCAAGACAAACACACAACAAATCGGTCGGACAACTCCCACTCAGGATTTCTGGGCTACACGGATTCACAACACCCCAAAACAGCTCCTCCCGGTTCCACATGCCACGCCCTCTACGGGGTTTTGGATTGGATAGAAGAAAATGAAGCCAATGTGATTGGCTTATTTTTTAAAGGAATATTCGCCATTTTGGCTCTAACCATCAGTTCAGTGATACAGGGATAGCGCGTACACGTTAGAGCCGTAATGGCAACTACTTCGGCGAGTTTCCTGTTGAAATATTTTTTAATCTTATTCAGAAATTTACTGACGCCACATTTTGTACAATATTTTAAAAACGCGTTTTTTACGAATAGTATTTTTGTAACAGATATTTAAATTTTGAAATGTTCAACTTTCCAAAATTATTACCACAAACCATATAAAATGACCATGTTTACAAATATAATTGTTTGTTGAGAAATGATGATGATGATGATAATGATGATGAGCAGAATAATAAATCTTCTTTTAGCTGCTTTTTTTAGCGGTTGCCACTGTGGATCATCTGCCTCCATCTGATCCTATCCTGGACATCTTCAACCTTCTGCAGGTCCTCCATAACTACATCCATGAATCTTCTCTGTGCTCCTTCTCCTTTCCTCCAGCCTGGCACCTCTGTATTCAACATCCTTTGTCCAATATATCCACTGTCCCTCCGCTGCACATATCAAAACTCTCTTAGCCTTGCATCTCTAACTTTGTTTCCAAAACACTCTGCGTTGTCCCTGTCATACAATACTCATTCCTAAGCATGTCCATCCTGTTCACCCCCAATGAAAATCTTAACACCTGCAGGTCCTCCTCCTGTTTTTTTGTCAGTGCCACCATCTCCAAACCGTACCATCGCAGGTCTTATTACCTTCAAACCATTCACTCTTGATGCTATCTTTCTGTCACAAATCACCCCAGACACTTGTCTCCACCTACTCCATGCTTGTCTTCTTCACCTCTTATGTGCAGTCTCCGTACTATGGACAGTTGACCCCAGATATTTAGACTCATCCAATTTCACTACTTCTGGTCCTTGTGGCCTCACTGTTAAACCTTTCTCCCTCTCATTCATACACATGTAGTCTGTCTTGTTTCTGCCGACTTTAATTTTTACACCTCCACTGCTCCAGGCTCTCTTCCAACCTCTCCATACTCTCAGAATGACATCTGCAAACCTCATAGTCCAGGGAGACTCCTACCTACATCTTCTGTTGACCACTGTGATCACCATTGCAAACATCAGTGGCCTCAGAGCTAGACATCACGCTACCTCAGCAGTCATCTGGACCAATCTTTGCACTCTTCATTCTCTTCATAGCTCCTCACCTCCTCACTAATCCTCTGCAATTCCCGATCCACTAACTTTCAGCCAACACATCCTCTCCTCCCTCTCGTTTTCTTCATTTATCAGGTCCTCAGAGTACTCCTTCCATCCTCTCAACACATTCTCTTCACTTGTAGTACATTTCCATTCTTCTTCTTGATTAATCCTTTCCAGCTTGATTTCACTTCCTAGCCAATCAATACAAGTTATTTCTCCTTCCTCAGTGTCCAGCCTCAGATTTCACTTACTATAAACCTTTAGAGCAGGGGTGTCACCACTTGTGTCCCACGTCACCTCTATTTGCAGCCCATATATTGAAGTGAAGAAATATAATGCAGTTTGGCCCTTGAAGTAACTTTTTTGTTAGGGAGGATTTGTTTTAGTGTTTTGATTGGCATGTTAAAATAAGTTATTTAGAAAGCAAATAATTATTTAATATAAAGGCAATATGAGCAGAGAGTACAAACATGTTGAGGGATTGGCTGTGTTAGTTCAGTGAGAGAGTTAAACAATTTTAACTAGTAGCCAAAAAATAATTTGTACACTTATGTCTGCATTTTTATTTTGTTATATGCAAACAAAATTATAGCAAAGAGGAAAGAGAGTAGCAATTTGTTTATTTGGTAGTTCAATGAAAGGCTTCAGTTAGTTAAGAGTGAGGAAAAAAAATTTTTGCTCATGTTTGTATTTTTGTCTTGTTATACAATATTTGAAATATAAAACAAACAAACAAAACACTACATTTTTGGAAATATTTGTGGGTATTTTCTTGTTTGTTTCTTTTGTACTAAAGTGGCCCTCCAATGAGATGACAGTGCCAGCATTGGCCCACAGCTCATTTAAGTTTGAGACCCCTGCTTTAGAGGTAGAGGTGCATTTGCTATTTCTCTTTTTGCTGTATAACCAGCCTCCCAGTAGTCCTGCCTACTTTCTTCAGCTCCCTCACTATCCCACTTTCTCCTTATATATACTGTATGTATGTATGTATACTTATCCATGATATTAATATAAATCTGACCAAAATCATACTATAATACAATACACATAAAACATAAAAATATAGAGATAAAGTAATAATAATGAAAAAAAACCTTTTATTATTAATTAATTAAAATGCTACTATGATAACAGGCAAGCTGAAGTCAGAAGGTTCCACCTTCCTCATCCACATTAGGCAGCATTAGGGGACCACGAGGGAACAAATTCTCCGCCAAGCTGTAGAATCCATGTAGCACGCAGCAGCTCAGGCCACTGCCAGACTCCGCAATGTCCGAGGTCCTGTACCACCAACCAGCCTCCCCATCGTAGCGCTCCACAGAACACGTAGGGTGATAGCCATTATATCCTCCGACCACAAAGAGCTGGTCATTCACAACTTCAATTCCAAAGTGGCTGCGAGGGTGATGCATAAATGGCAGGACGCGCCATCTGTTGGTGATAGTGTTGTAGGCCTCAACAATACGCAGTGGGGTGTACCCATTAATGGTGCCACCAACCTGGGAGTGGGAGAGTGGCATGAGTTCATAGTTTCAGAAGAAAGAAGTACCACTGAATAAAAAAAAACTATGAAATACAACTCTTTCGGACATTTTTTTCCTCACTGCAATGCTGCTAGTGGCCACTAGGAAAAATTTGTTAGTAAGTCTGAATGACTTCTCTGTATTCACGTTCTAACCTTCAGCACTTTAAATGACATAACCCCAGTGACCAGAGTCTAAATGAAGCTCCTGAGAAAGGAACATGAAGTAAAGGAAGAAGAAGACATGCAACAGACAACAAAGCACCAGGATAGTTTTTAGATTTGACAACTACCGTGGGGGGACTGTGGATGATTTATGTCATGCAATCTATGCCCTATAATGCTAAAGTCGGATTCATGGTGGTATGTTTCTTTCAGCTTGTGTAAGTGTTTGGCTATGCACAGTTCATGATTTTATGTATGCAATCTACATTAACTACTAAGCAATGCACTGGGAGCTGTGCCGAGGCTCAGTTTAAGAGAAATAACAATTATTTTAAACTGTGAATCTTGCAAAGTTACTCTAGAGTACAATAAAATTACTGTGGTACACTTACTGCATATATCTGGTTTTTGTAAGCAATAACTCCTAGGCCTCTTCGGCTGCACATCATGGGAGCAATTGTGGTCCACACGTTGGTGTCTGGATTGTAGCATTCAGCTGTAGGGAGGCTATAAGTTTGATAGAAACCCCCACAGATATAAACCTGTAGAAAGGATTAAGAGAAATTAACCTGCGGTAAAAGGAAGTATCTGAAAGGGAAAGTAGCTAATTATCCATGAAGAGCTAGTCAGAGTTTGGTAGGCAGGTTCAGGAATAAAGATATATTATCTAATAGCGGAAAACGAAATGGAATATCAACAATTACTGCATTTTTACAGGACATACAGAGAGAGGTTACAAATTCAAGGAAAAGTAATTGGAAAACAGTTTAAGGGCGTATGTTATCTCTTTAATAGTGGCTTTGTTTGGGTCCACCTTGGAGAGAAGTGTCAAATCAATAGAATGGTGCTCTAAATGAAAGAAAAATCTCTATTCTGATGGGAGTGGTTGCTTCTGGGATGATATTACACCATTCACTGAGCCTGAAAAGTCATTAAATTGTTCCTATAGTCTGGCTTAAAGAAACATGTTGTTAGACTGAACAATGAAGTGAAAACAACATTTGGTCACTGCTTTCAGTCATGTCTCCTTGCACCTACCTTTCCATGCAGAACTGCGGCACTGGCTGCAGCTCGCTTTGCATTCATTCTTGCCACGAAGGTCCACTGGTCAGTCTCAGGCTTGTAGCACTCAACACTGCTCAGGGAAATTTGTCCGTTGAAGCCTCCCATGGCGTAAATGCATCCATTCAGCACAACAACGCTGACATAGCACCGGGCATTGTACATGGGTGTCACAAGTTGCCATGTAGAGCTGCTGAGATCAAGTCTTTGCACAGTTTTCAAGTTAGTTTCACTGTTGCAGCCACCAATTAAGTAGACAAAGCCGTCCAGCGTAACGGCTCCGTGGTGAGCACGATGAATGTCACAGGCCACAGTGGCCCAGCTGTTGGTTCGGTAATCATATGCCTCATAGCTGCATCGTGCAGTGGAGCGATTTTTGCCTCCAGTGACCAATAAGATGGAAGAAGGCAGACGTGGCCGGCTCAGCAAGCTACTGTAAATGAATTGTGGACGTCTGTTGAGACCACGAGCTTGAAACACCTCCACTACTTCATTGATGATGGACATGCATTTAGCATTGTTCTTTATCATGGCATTGTTCATGACGCTGTTTTGGAAGTATTCAGAGGTCATCAAGGTGAGACGTACCTGGATAAATAAAGAATGAGGGGTTAAGGCAAAGGTGTCAGGCTAATTTTTAACTAAGTCACATGTAGCCTAATGTGATCTCATAATGACCTCAATGAAAAAAAGTCACTCCTCTAAAAAAAATTTTGCTTTAAGTGTAAAAAAAAATACAAGTGCGTTGTGGAATCACACTGATTTTCACACAAAATGATCCAATTACTGACTAAACAGATTGTAATTCAAATTAAACCACTAGTGGGGAGCAATTTAACATATGTGTTGATATGTTTTCAGATATAATATTCTGCTGTTATAACATTTGACATTTCTTTTTAACTGTAACCCCATTTTATGCTGACTTACTTTACGATCATGTGGTACTATCTGGTATTACATGAAGTCACCAGGCCAGTTATGGTGCCTGGACTACATGTTTTATTAAGCTGACT